GTTCGGATGCAGCTCTTCTCTGAACAATTCGATGGACATTTATGAAGGCACTGATCTCCCCAGTATCCCTCAATACATCCTCGGGTACAGATTCCATTTTCATCGAACTTCAAGTCTACACAGTAAGGGCGGCAAAGAAACAACGCTGAATGAAAGAAAAGCCTACTAAGAACTTTATTTCATTCAAGTACTGTTACTCACTTTTTTCGTGGAAAAAAAAGGGTTGTAAAGACTGAAACTTAGATTTCTCATTATATTTAAAGTCACAAAATTCAATAAACTTAAACCGCAGTAACATCTGCAATAAATTTATTTTTATTTGGAAACTGATTCAATGTTAAATGTTTTAAGTATAATACATGTATGATATTTCAATTGTTCAATTCAGTAACTGTTTATCTTTAAAAATTACTTGTCATTTAGAAGGTTTACTCATTTACTGAAATATATATTGAAACAATGTAGTGAAATACATAAATACTTCTCAGAGAAAAATAAAGAAAAAATCCAGATTTGTACCATGACAGTTACTGTAAATATTTTCTAGTGTTAAAGTAACCCACATCTCTCGAAAGGCACTCATTTTGAATGTCATAGTAAAAAAATAAATAAATAATTGTTGTTTGCTATTTCCAATTACAAAATTTGGAATTGCACTGTATCTAAAAGTCAAATTGTTTATCACTTATCACAGTGTTACAAAAACTTCGACTATTTATTTTTACATCCAGATCTTATAGAGGAAGGCGACACTTCCCAGTGTCACGACTATATTACATTTATATACGGAATTTTACATCTGCATCAAACAGATAAAACTTTATGTAGCATAAAATGATGGCTTTATTGCACATAAGATAAACACGAGTCTTTGTTTAAGATATAATATATCAATTCATCTTTGCTACTCTTAAAAATACTACACGTATCTAATTCGTTTTCACAGTTTTCCTTGAATATGTGTAAACATAGAGTTTTCTTTCACATTGATATAAAATCAATATGTTTCCGATGCTTATAATAATAGAAAAGCATTAATTGTTATTACTGAATTCCTTTAGCGGAACAAGTTGTATCCATAGATACATTTTAAATGCTGACTGTATTCCATTTATATATTTTATAAAATTGTTAGCCCCCCCCCCCCTGCCTGAAAAGCGAGAAGGTATATACAGTGTAGTAATCGGGATGCCTGTCCGTCCGTCCTCCGTCTGTGGCGCCTTGGGGTACCCATCTCTTACACGATGAAACAAGAATATCAGCAGTCTCGTTTAAAGTCATCATTTCGTAAGTTCTATGGTCGATACAATGACCTTGTCAGCCAATACAATTTATCATTGAGTCATATATATATATATTCTGACTGACGTTTTTCATACTAAATGTTAGTCCAGTATTTATACACTGAATTAACGACGGATTTTTCCGATATCTCCCGATCAGGACAAGGAGCACAAGCCAGATGTGACCAGTCAGCAGGGGATGGTCACTCCACCATGACACCTGATACCACCTCTGATGTTTTGGAGGTCCGTGATTACTCTGCTCCTATTTTGTATTGTTTCTTGGACTGTTCGTTATCTTCATATCCTTCTACGCCATTCCTCGATCCGACACATATTTTGTGTTTTCTATCACAGGTGCTTGAGGACAGGAATCCCCCTCCCACCTTTGATATAGACCCCTGGGCTTTTTCGATTTTTTTTCATAAATAATCTTTTATAGACATATTTGTGATAAGATCTATACCAACAAATAAAAAAATCACCTTTAACAAACATTCTTTAAAATCTACCCTATATTCTATATATAAAAATCAACAAGGTTGCAAGCTTCGTGAAATGCTTATTGAACGGAAGTATTGAGTAGAGGACTATTTCCCATGGGCCCTGTATAACCAAATATGTGTGTAAGATATCAACAATACATGTAGCTATATTCTTGTTTTTGTACGAATTCTTCATCAAAATTTTATTTTCAAACGTTTTGTAGATTTTACAAGAAATATTTAAGGAAAAGAAGGTATTTTAATAAATTGCATTTTTAAAAGGGTATACATTGTAACTCTCAAAACCGATTCATGCAAATCAGCTATTTGAAAAATAATAATTAAAGGCATTTCATTTACATCAGCGGTTTAGAAGTCTATTTTATCAATACATTTGAAAGACATTTTTAAAAGTGTATATCAAACAAATTTCTACAAATGTTTATTTCAAAACAGTGTTTCAGACTTTCTGCAGAACTGTGTATTTCGGTAAAAAGTCGTCTCCTCGTCACTCCCGTTCACTAAGCAAAAACGCTGACTGTAGCCTGACATCCTTGTGGAAAACTAGCCATACCGACTGTTGAAGTGCCTTAACCTTCATGAGAGTTGGTGGTTAATGAAAAGAATATTCAATCTACAATATGAGTTGATGATTTTAGAGCTTTGTTTAGATTTATGAGACGATTCAACCAAAATTCTCGGCAGTGTCTCTCGGTTTGCTGACGAAGTTGGCAGCCTTCTTAGAATATATAGAGATAGTGGGGTAAAATTTTTTATAAAATGTTAGTTTGAGCCATTTTTCTGAATTGATAAGATAGAATATATCACAAATGTTCATCAATATATAATTTATGTGAAAAAGTCTAACAGGCCCGGGGGTCTATATTTAGGGGGAGAGGGGTCCTGTCCTGAAGCATCTGCGTTTTCTATAGCAAAACATGGACACTGCCATTATATTCATATGGGAGGCGTGGGTATCATTAAGTGAGCTCATCCCTCACGGTATTTCTAGTTTTATATTCTTTTCTGTGTTTAAAAACATCTCCAGGCCTCATAGGTATCGTGGGATAACTAGTATTGTCGATCTGCTTTCAGAATAGAAGTTTCATATGCTGTTCTTCTTTATAGCACACCATTCACAATTTCTGTCATCATGCACATGCATCACTTGCTTGAAAAAAAACATTTGTTTTGCTGGAGAAGGAAGTATTGTTTCCCTATGGAAGAATTATTATTAACGAGATCAAATAAACGATCAACATATATTTTTTCACTTATCCATAATGTGTTTTCTGTGCAATTCTATGATAAATCAAAATGCATTCTTTTCAGATACATGTTTCAAGTATTCATTTTATCAGATCATTTCAATGCCACTTCACAAAGGGTAATTTTGGTAGAAATCGGAAGATGAAACTTCACTTCTTTCTATATTTGAGTATGTAAAACATTTATCTGATACATTTATCAATTCTTATTTCCGTAAATACTTGGCTAAAAATACTGTACGTCCAACTGTGTTCTTAAAATTCATCTTTCATACTTTATCTTTTAGGAGCTTTGATGCAGGCAACGATGCGTAAAATCATACCGCTAAGAAATCATCTATAAATCAGACAATGAAATAAAAGTATGGTCCTCAAAGCTTTAATGAATAATGAAATGGAAATTAATAGAAATTCATCCAAGTCTGCCTTTATTTCAATTGTAAGTTACAAGTTAAAAAAACAGTGAAATAAAACTGATATATGCTCTATGTATATTTCAAAAGTGGTTGAAAATGCATTATAAAACCAAAAAACCAAATGATTAACCACTCGTAAAACAAGCCTCACTATATTAATGATTTTTAATAAGAGAAAAAAAAAACTTTACGACATATTTAAAATAGTTGATAATCTCTCTCTCTCTCTCTCTCTCTCTCTCTCTCTCTCTCTCTTGTAAAATGGTTACTTGTTGCTCTTTTTCATTACTTGATATATGCAAACGGATGATGAATTGAAATGAACATTTCAAAAATGATATTGAGTGTTAAATCACTTTAAATAATATACGTTTACAATTGTTATCATTATATACAAACCAAGAAAGCAAATAAAGCATTGTTCATAGTTGCATTTGTAAATCAGCATTACAATTAAAAAACATTTTCAACTTCTCACGTAAAAATGAAAATTCCATCACAAATTCAAAAGTTAAAATTTCAACAAACTTCAACAAACGTGGATTCAATTTAGGTCACCCATCACGAAGACAACTTATTTAGTAGAATACAAGCTCCTTGATGATACGGTCGTCGGTTCAAACCACAGCCACGCATAACTTTAGTCGATAAAATGTACATCTCAACTCCCCTTTCGCCAAGTACTCGGAACGTTGCAATGAAATTTGCAGACTTTTGGATGAGACCTTAAACGAGGTTCTTTGTCAAGAAGGGCTTTCACAGAAAAAGACCCATTACTGCTTAATGTACATTATTGCCAAGTAAAAGTCTGAATTTGAGCCCTTCAGTAATATATGTTGATGACTGAATATGAGTGAAATATTATTGAATTGGGGGGATGTCAATAAATCAATCATTTTTTTATTCAAACAATCACTTGAGCTCATCATAATGAGAAGGTTGACTTAATTGTCCAAGTTCTTGATAACCCGCGTTAGCTTCAACTTCGGCAAACATAGCTGTGTTTGCATATTGTATTGAATTTCGTCGGCTGGTTTCCTGCTTTTCTTTGTTAGGAAATTTTTGTCTGATATTCCTGCAAAATTAGAATAGTTATTGAAATCAAAAGTGTAAAATGTACAGAAAACAAGAAAAAAATACTGAAAAAAATTAATTTAAATATTTTTTTTCACTTACATCTTTTGTCATGCATATCTTTATAATAATAATAAAAGTTACCTGAAAATCAGAACAATATTGACAATAATACTTATACAGAGCGTTGCAATGACTCCATAGAGAGCTGTTGAATAGTTCTCTAATATCTGGTCGATTTCTTAAATTATAAAAAAAATCTTTCTATTAATCTCTCATAGCACGTCTTCTTAAAAAAAATAAATGAAAAACAAATAATTATATGCGTGAATAATATAATGTTCAATTTTTTATCCATTTATTAGGCCACCTGAGTAAACTCAGGTGACCTATTGCTATCCGTTTTCGTCCGTCGTCGTGCGTCGTGCGTTAACATTTGAACATTTTCAGCTTCTTCTCTGCAACCACTGAACCAATTTCAACCAAATTTGGCACAAAGCATCTATGGGTGAAGGGGAACAGAAATTGTGAATTTCATGATCCCTACCCCCCTCGGGTCTGAGGGGTGGGGCCAAAACCACTAAAATTAATGCAATCTTTAAGAATCTTCTTCTTTACTCCTGGACATCAAGCAGTCAAACTGTTTGCATGATTGTAATCAGCATTGAGTCCTGGATTCTGGTGTTAGGGCGGGGCTCTATAGATTATATAGTGAAAATACATGAATTCTTTGAAAATCTTCTTCTCTTCTCCTAGGTATTAAATAAACTTACAAAGTGCATAGTTATGATGAGCAAGAGTGCCTCTACCGAAATTATGAATTTTATGGCCCCAGGGTCAGGGGTTCTGGTGTTAGGGTTTGGCTCTTTTGATCATATAGTGAAAATAAATTAAATCTTTGAAAAATTTCTTCTTTGCTCCTGGGTATTAAGCAGATTAGCTACCTATATAGTTAAAATTGAGCAAGAATGCCTCTTTAAAAATTATAAATTTTATGGCCCCAGGGTCAGGGATTCTGGTGTTTGGGCGGGGCTCTATTGATTATATAGTGCAAATACATTAAATCTTTGAAAATTATCTTCTTTGCTCCTGGATATTAAGCAGATGAACTACCTATATAGTTATGATAATCTTCCAGAATTTTGAATTCAAGGCCCCAGGGTCAGGGGGGCTGTATGTATATACTGAAAATATAATATGTAATGAATTGTTTGAAACCTGCTCCTTGGTATTAATCAAATAATTTTGAAAAGCAAGAATGCCTGTACAAAAATTGTGCAATGTGTGGATCTAGGGGTTTCATGTATGGTAGGGACACTACTGATTATTGCTGAATATTACTGATAAGTTGAAATGCATTTTTTGTTCCCCTACCCTGCCTATGGGTATTAAGTAATCAAACTGAGCAACTGCTAAATGTATAGTTATGATGACCAATGGACCGCCAGCTCTTTCAAAATTGTGAATGCCATAGCAACTGGTTTAAAATATGTATCAAATTCAATCACTGGAAAGTTGTTGCATAATGCTTAGGTGACCTATAAGGCCCATGGGCCTCTTGTTTGATATGTGGTCGATAAACTGGAAAAATAAGAGAAAACTGTTCTTTACCAGAATAAGGTTTTTCATCTGTAAGATTGCTTTGGAGTCCCCTTATACACGACCCGTTGTTTGAAAAACAGATTCTATTTATACAGATTGGACTACATAGTTGATCACATTGTGGTCCGTAATGAGTTTGGCTGCATTCTGCATATAGATATCATGTAATGTTCAGTGTAATTCAAATTGAAAATGAAAGATGTTGGTTGTCCAAATAACATTTTTAAATAATTTATATCAATATCTCGATTCTTTGAATATAAATTCTTATTCATGATTTATATTGGTACCATTCAGGGGCTTGTTAGTTATACACAAAAATACATAAAATTTAATTTCTCAATCGTCACTACTCTTCAGAGCAATGTTTTTAAGAGTAAGATTTCTTGAGTTATTATATTTTTATGGTTTTACCATCACATTTATGACCCTGCCATCCTGTTTTACAAGTGCAACTACCATCTTCTTGAAGACAACCGGATATACACCCATCAGCACAGTTTCGGAGACAGTCAACTCCAAATTTCCCGGTAATACACCCAAAATCGCATAATCCATTGACTCTACTGCATCCCTTTTTACAATTATAGTTGCAAGTTTTATTGCAATAAGTTCCATATTTTCCAACGGGACATTCGCTTTCATATTTCACTGAGTCTCCATTGAGAGTTGACGGGCATAATAAACTGCAACTCTTTTCACATTTATCTAAATAGAACCCATTAATACATCCATATCTACAGGATCCAGTGACATTGTCACACGTTTGTCTTTTACAATTCCTACTACATAGCTTGGAGCAATCAGGTCCGTAATGTCCGAATTCACATCCTGCATAAAATAATAGTTCTTTCGTCGTTAAATAATCAAAAACTTATTAACTTGAAAAATAAAGAGCGTATAGTATTTTCCCTACACATCTCTGGAAACAATCCAATTCATGCCTCAACCCTAACATAATTTCTTTCAGACACTGTTCTCCCTTCGATACATGAAATTTAACAAAATTGCAATATGATTTACAATTCATAAAGACGACAAAGGAATTATTTTAGCGCAGTACAGTTAAGGTGCGCAATGGAAATATCGACAAAATTTTGTATTTAAAAATGTAATCGTTATCGGGATGGCGATTATTTTTAGAACATTATTTATATCGGATAATTGTAATTATGATTAATAACTGCATATCGAGGACGATTATATTTTATATTTAGATAAGTCACGTGATGCGGCAGTCACGCGATTTAAGCACATTGACTTGAAGTATTGATGTTACATATAAATATCACTAGTGCAAGGGCATAACCAAGTTAAATTTCAAAGTTTAGTATATAAATATTTTCAACACGCATTGTAGTTTCTAAAAAGTGCTGCGATCCTGTCTAAATTCTGCAATTTCATTCTTAAAATTATACTTGTATGACAGAATGCTATATTTTTTGCTGGTCAGCGGCATGAAATATTGATTTAATTAAATTGTTTTTACGATTTCATCAGGATCGCAGCACTTTTCAGATACCTTAATAGTTCTATAGTTAAAATCTAAAAGCTTACTTTGATCCATAGAGTGTATGCCCTTGCACTAGATCGATTTATTAAGACCCCCCACATTTCCCTACCATGTACTTGCATACAAATATACGGCAATGTCAATTAAATACGTAATGTACAGAAAATATATTAATAAAATAGTGAAGAAGACATTAAATTCAAGTTATTGGCTCATAGAATATCTGTAAATAATATTTTATTTAATTATAGAATACATATTTTGTTGAAAAAATATTACTTGATCCTGTCTCTCACTGCATACAAACTACGTCACGTTGTAAGAAATGACGTCATATTGACAAGTGTATTGCGATCAGTGACTTGTTTATAACTTGTTATGTGGGATTTAACTAACGACAACACAACACGCTGTAGTAAGTTTTTATGTAGTTTGATGATTTCTTACTGGTTAAATTAGCACATAAACTCATTTTGTGGTATTCTAAAGAATTGTTGTATGACGTATATTGTGTATGATGTCATAGTCAAGTTTTCCCGTACAAATTAGGCTCCGCCTCCTTTTTGTAACCTTAACTGTGCTGCGAGATGTCTTATTTTGATTTCATCTGATAACATTGTAAGTTAAGGAATGTTATTTCTAGTAGAGATGGCAGAACTTTGTTATTAGGAAAAGTCAGAAATGCACAGGATATCTTTCAATATATAAAAGGTGCATAAATTATTTTCCTAATTTTTTATCTAGATGTAAGCTAATCACTACATGGAAAAAATACATTTTCAAACTCAGCTTAATGGTTGACATAATAGTTAATGACGTGTTAAAATACAACTTGGCCCAAAATTACCAAACTTACTATCGCATCTTTCTCCGGACCAGTTTGGTTTACACCCGCCAATACAAATTCCACTTTGAAGGCATTCAATTTTTGCACAATTTCCACTACATGACGAATCACAAAATGAACCATAAAATCCCCTGTAGCAGCCATTTCTACAGTATCCATTCATTTTTCTACATTCATGATTAAGGCAAGTGTTGCTACATTTCATGTCGCACTTTTTACCATAAAATCCTTTATTGCAGGTCCTACAATATCCATTCAATGTGTTACATGTATCACTGCAGTTACCACAACGGTGTTCACAGAAATTTCCATAATACCCCGATACACATCCCAATCTACAATATCCACCGTCTATAGCACATGCTCGTTTATAGCATTTAGTATACCAATTACATTCGTATTCACATCTATGTCCATAATTCCCGTCTTTACAGGAGATGCAAAGTCCGTTAGTTCTATTGCAGACTCTTCTGGAACAAGAAGATGGACATTCATTCAGACATTGATCTCCCCAGTATCCTTCAATGCACCCACGGGTGCAAATTCCATTCCCATCGAATTCCATGTCTATACAGTGAAGACTGCATGGGACCACCGCTGGAAAACATACAATTTATTTGTAATATTCTTAAGTGTAGTAGTGAAAGACTGACCCATCGCTAAAAAAAATGCTTCAAGTCACTAATGCACTAATTGGGAAGGAGATTTAGGATTTATTTTGACTATGCCATGTTTTTTTGCTATTCTGAAAGATTATTTTTTGAGATACTTTCCTTTTTTAACAAAAAAAAATGAAAGCTGCAAGATGGTTTTCCAGTTATTTTGAAATGGGTTAAAAAATAAAAAGCATAAGGCTAAACATATTTAATACGGCTGTACCTTTGGACGGTGTCTTTAGAAAGAATGAAAAAAAAAAAAGAATTACATGTACTTGTTTGAATATGCGATGGTTTTCAGGTACTAAATCATTTAAATAGAAAAGAATAGTTTTCTTCAGAAGCATAATTTTTGAATAATTGAAATTAAAACCTATATTAAAGTTTTTAATATATCGGATTTGTAGTATTAGTTTTGTGTCAATATGTGCAGTCGGAATTAAGAAAAAAGAATTACATTATAGCAGAAATATATAACATAAAACAACACTCATAAGCGCAAAAAAGTATTTTACAATATAACCAGAAAGCACAGTTTTCATTTTCGTATTGTTTCGCTTAAGTCATTGGAGAAAAACTTTTCCCTGTCAAATGATATAAATGTTTTCTAAATTATGTATGCAGATTTTCCCCTCTTCCAATATTTGTTACCTTTAGAAGTTTGAATTATTATCGTGAATGTCTTTTAAAAAAGTAAAAGACTAATACCTTTCAGAGATAAAGTTCTAACATCGTGTAGATATTTACCATCACAGTAAAAATCTCCAAGTAATAAAAAAAAATCCACATCCCCAAAAAGGCAGTCATTTTGAAATCAAATCAATAAAATAGAAATTAACCTTGTAAGAGATTTTTGTCATTCACATAAGTCGGAAATTTGCTCTGTTTCATAGCCTTTCAAAAACTAATGTCTAAAATCAAGCACTTAGATTTATTATCATCTTTAACGTATCTAAAGCATATATTAAAATAACATTACAGGAAAACAAACACTTAAATGTGCTAAGTATAATTTGTTGAACATAAGTCTTGCTGTAAGAATGATCACACTTCCTGAACTTGTTTTTGCTGTAATTTACATGTATTTATGCCTTGTAATGCTAATGGGCAAGCTCACTGTAAGAGAGCAATTGCTGTTAATCAATGACATTTTTGGATCGATTATTGTATTGATAGGGATAACATTTTAGAATGAAATAAACCGCAATAAACATTTTTCTAAATTAGATAAAAAAAACGATGTCAGCTGATCAAATAGAACGGCATTCAATCATAAAATTATTTTCTAATACTGTAAACCAACTTTTATTCGCTTGCGAGAAATTTTCGCGAAGTTCGCGAGAGCCTCGTTATCGTGAATATATATCGCCGCGAACCGGTCCTTAAAGTCACTGTTTCTATTAAGAAAAGATCCGAATAAGGCTTGGTCGCGAAAATTAATTGTCGAGATTTAGTTCACCCCAGTAGATCGTGAAATAAAGTCGTCGCGTATAAAAGTTGGTTTACAGTATTCTTGAAAGAGGCACAGATCAATTATCCAACACGACTACAAACTCATATATTTAGTTCATTGCTTTGAAATTTGTCTTAAGATTTGTTTTTAATTCATAGGACATTACCAGAAGTGGAAAGTCACTTTTATTAAAAAAATGCAATGTATCCCAATTTATGGTTTTATAAATCTAGCTTATTATTTTCAACGTCGGACTGGGAAAAAGCTATAAAATATATACTGTAGATTCCTTATATTTAGTTTTCATTTTTTATGCATTTCCTTAATTTTATTTTCATTCATATAGATATGAATGGACTTTTGATCTAGAATACTGTTCGTTATCTCAACGTGTTTCACAAAAACATGCAAAATTTAGAAGCTTACTGTCACATTTTTCTCCAGTCCAGTTCGGTTTACATCCACCAATACAATCTCCATTTGGTTTGCATTTTGGTTGTGCACAATTATCACTACATGACAAATTGCAGAATGAACCATAGAAACCTCTGTCGCAGCCATTTTTACAATAACCATCATTTTTCCTACATTCCTGATTAAGACATTTGTTATTACATTTTCTATCGCACTTTCCTCCATAATAGCCAGTGTTACATACATTACAGTAACCGTTTGAATCGTCACAAGTGCCACTGCTGCAATTACCACATGATTCCATACAGTAGGACCCATAGTAACCAGAGATACACCCAGTTGGACAGGTTCCCCTTTTGTTACATTTTCCTCCAGAGCATTTTTTAGACCAATAACATTTCTTTGCACATGTATCCCCATAGTGCCCGTCGGGACAAGAATTACATAGCCCATTAGTTCTGTTGCAGCTCTTTTCTGAACAAGTCGATGGACATTTATGAAGGCACTGATCTCCCCAGTATCCCTCAGTACATCCTCGGGTACAGATTCCATTTTCATCAAACTTCAAGTCTACACAGTGAGGGCGGCAAAGAAACAACGCTGAATGAAAAAAAAAAACCTACTAAGAACTTTATTTTATACATTGTTACTTACTTAATTTGTGAAACAAAAAAGAGTTGTAAAGACTGAAACTTAGATTTCTCATTATATTTAAAGTCATAAAATTCAATAAACTTAAACCGCAGTAACATCTGCAATAAATTTATTTTTATTTGGAAACTGATTCAATATTAAATGTTTTAAGTATAATACATGTATGATATTTCAATTGTTCAATTCAGTAACTGTTTATCTTTAAAAATTACTTGTCATTTAGAAGGTTTACTCATTTACGTAAATATATATTGAAACAATATAGTGAAATACATAAATACTTCTTAGAGAAAAATAAAACAAAATCCAGATTTGTACCATGACAGTTACTGTAATTAATTCCTAGTGTTAAGATAACCCACATCTCTCGAAAGGCACTCATTTTGAATGGCATAGTAGAAAATAAATAATTGTTTTATGCTTTCCTATCACAAAATTTGGAATTGCACTGTGTTTAAAAGTCAAACTGCATGTTTATCACTTATCACAGTGTTACAAAAAGTTCGACTATTTATTTTTACATCAAGATCTTATCGAGGAAGGCGACACTTCCCAGTGTCACGACTATATTACATATATATGGAATTTTACATCTGCATCAAACAGATAAAACTTAATGTAGTAGAAAATGATGGCTTTGTTGATAAACACGAGTTTTTGTTTAAGATATAATATATTAATTCATCTTTGCTACTCTAAAAATACTACATGTATCTAATTCTTTTTCACAGTTTTCTTAGAATATGTGTAAACATAGAGTTTTTGTTTTACATTGAGATAAAATAAATGTGTTTCCGATGCTGATAATAATAGAAAACATTACTTGTTATTACTGAATTTCTTTAGCGATGCAAGTTGTGTCCATAGATACATTTTAAATGCTGACTGTATTCCATTTATATAATTTTAAAAATTGCCTCCCCACTGCTTGAAAAGCGAGAGGGTATATATACAGTGTAGTAATTGGGATGCCTGTCCGTCCGTCCGTCCGTCTGTGACGCCTTGAATATCAGCAGTCTCGTTGAAAGTCATCAACACTACTGAACTTAAAATTCCCTGATATTCTGAAAAATCTCTGATAATCTCTGTTACCCACTGTCAAAGTTCTGCTTTTCTCTGTTTAAGCACTGTACAGCCACTGTACAAAATCCCTGTACCTACTGTAATCCTCGGTAAATCACAGTACAGACTCGCTGTTATTTTTTGTACATCCCTGTACATTACTGTACGCCCCCACTGTACAGCACATTACACCACTGTCTGTCATTGTACACCTCCCACAGTACAACACTGTACATCACAGACGAGTACAGTACTTAACCTCTGTACAGCACAGCACAGTACTGTTGATCACTGTACGGGCCCCAGACTTGGCACTGTACATCACTGAAGTTCAATGTACGCATCTCAGTTTGGCACTGTACATCACTGAACTATACTGTGATCTTTTCATAGACTTATTTAACTTTTACAGTTCCTAAATTTTACAGATTTTTTAACTTCACTAATTATTTAGATTAAGCCGTGGGTATTTTTGACTAACTTAGTAAATTGAAAGTGATAATTTTGTGTTGATAAGTACACTCAGTATACACATACCGTATATAAAAAGTAAAAAAAAAAAATCCTATAGATTATACACGTAGTATCATAAATTATAATGAATAATCGTCGTTTTCACATAGCTCGATATTGCGGTTAACAGCTAAATTTCATTTCTGCATGGATTTTTTTCTTCTTTTTTAATCTTTTTATAGTTTTCATCTCCAGCATTTTTCATGTAGTGTTTAGCAGAAATGAAATATTTCGGTTTAGTCAATTACAATCCATGTTGTGATGTAACGTGTACATTATTAAAGTGGACAGTGAGCCCTCGTTTCTTATTTATTTGATTTTAAAGAAAGATTAATTAATGAAAAATTAATATTTTATTAATGCACATTTATTATCATCTGTAAATTCTATTAGTTGATAATATGTTGTGTCAACTTCATGACCATATGG